CACGACACAATTGAGGCGCCATTCACACTGTGCTGAGTGGATTGTAGGTGTTTTTTCAAGATTTTTTTTTTTTCATGCATCTTTGAACGTTTTTTTGAGCAGATTTGCAAATATTATAGGAGTTTTTTCAGGAGTTTTTCATTTAGGCGAATTTGCTGTGGCCAAGAGAAATAGAAATAGCTGCTGTCTGAGCTGCAAACGCCTGAAAAAACACTTGAAAAAACACTTGTAAAAACGTTTAGGCATATTCCACTCAAGTCTATGGGGACAAAATGATCAGATTTGCATGAAAACGAAGCGCAATTCCTCTTTTTGCGACAGGCATTTTACTACAGGTGACAGAATGCTCAAGTGTGCTCAGTGTGGAAATAATGGTGTTTTACTTGTTGAGTGTTTTTGAGCGTCGAGCTTCGAGCTGAAAAACACTCAAGTGTGAATGGGGTCTTAGACTTCATATATGACATTTGAACTTTTTGTTTATACAAATACAGCAAAGCGAACCCATCAGACTGTGTGGACATGACATGTGATGCAAAGAGGAAGACCCTCTTGAAAGATCTTGATGGTTCCTTCTTGGGGCAAATAGGTGCTGTGGTACCACAGTCAGAATGGGAGTGGAATGGAGACAGGAGATATGGACTTGGAGATTACCGAATTCCGACAGTGATGCTGACCAGTCTCAATGGAAGCCGAATACCTGTATCACAGGTAGCTCCCTATGAAGGTAAACATTTCCATATACCAATCCATTAGTCTGAATAATGACAGGTTACTTTTGCTTAAAGCGGAACTTCACCCAAAAGGGGAAATTCTGCTTATTTGCATCTTCTCCCCTCTTCTTTGAGATTTGGAACTTTTTCAGGAGGGGTACTTGGCTTTGACAGGTACCCACTGCCACTTCCCGTCAACTCATCTCAATGATCCCAGCAGAAATTTGGTCCCCTCTTTCCCCCACAATCTTCTGGGACCTGTGATTTGTTCCTGCAGGAACATTCATAAAGTGCAAAGCTCGTGCATGTGCAGTGGGAAACTGGCAGTGAAGCCGCAATGCTTCATTGCCGGTTTCCCTTAGTTAAGATGCCGGCTCCTAGACCCAAAGCCTTCTAAAGAATCGCCTTGGGTGAGGACAGCACTGGATCCCTGGACAGGTACAGTAAGTGTCCTTATATTAAAAGCCAGCAGCTACAGTATTTCTAGCTGCTGACTTTTCATTTTTGTTAATGGGGGGGGGGCTGGAGAACTGCTTTAAATGGACCAAAACACCATAATTCAGCTGCGGGTTGTGTTGTAGGTAAAATCAGGAATCAGGACTCCTGGTTACAGCAAAGTGGTGAAGGTGCCAGTGGACCCTTTTTATTGCTCTCACCTGAACTCCTGTGTCACTTTATTCATAATGATTCGTATAGATAGTCATTGTAAGTTCAAAATAAAATGATATTTCTCTTTCATTGATTTTGATGTGTTATAATAATGCTTCCATCTGCTTGTCTTTTGTTAAGGAATCATCAGAGATAGCACTTGTGTGTACATGTCATCCTGGGAGGCCTATGAATGTTTCAGACTTAATTATGAGATGCTTGTCATTGAGAGCCTGGATGCAGATACAGAGACACGGCGTCTTTCCCCAGTAGCTGTGTTGGGAGATGGCTATTTAGATCTCATTAATGGTATGGATATCATACTTCAGCTGTTATACAGATTAAAAAAAGAAATGTACATTTTTGATTGGCTGTTGCAGGTAACATCTCTTTCATGTCACTTCTGTTTCATACAGCTCTCAGTTATAATTGTAGTCTACTAAATACTCATATACAGTATCTTACCATCAACTCTTACGCTAGCCATATGAAGGTCAGTTTTTTCGTTCAACTAGCGGGTTGAACAAAAATCTTACCTGATTCCCCCATGCATATACTTGATGTGGATGTGGGAATCCTCCCTGCTGCGTCATTGTACTCTGACAGAGAGGAGACTCCCCCGCTGTCAGAATACAGAGATCAGCGCTGCAGTCTATAGATCGGTAGATCAACTTCTGTTCAACCATAGTGGCAACGCATGGATTGAAATTTGGCTTGTCAGTGTTGAAATGGCTGAATTTAGATCCATGTGTGGCCAGCTTTAGTCTGAAAAACACAAAGGAGCAAACAATGAAATCATTCATGTGGTTAAGCATTATACTGTTATATCCAATGCAGTCTTTGGGCTTTACGTAAAGCCCAACTCTGGAAAAAGTCAAATTGCCACCTTGCAATGAAGCTACCCCCACAGAGCTAGTACTAAATTCTCTTTTAGTTCTAGGGGACCGGGAAAAGTACTTTTACTTACAAATCCTCCACTCCCCTGGCAGATGGTGCTCCCGGGAGCTCCATGAAAGAAAATGGTCTGCTTATTAGCTAACACCGTAAAAAAGGCAGAAAATACATTACATCCTAGCTTCTGGTGTTGGTGATGACACTGGGTGTTCTCATGGATCCTGGGAAAGCTGAGGATCCCAAACCCTTCAGATATAGACTCCTATATTGTATTGGTACATATTTTCATGAGATTTGGAAACCCATGGTACAGCCTGTTGATGCCTCAATTAGATTTATACCCTTATGGTGACATGCAACACTTTCTCTGCAGGCCTCATGCATTAAAGTGTCAGTACCAAGAGCAGTGATTGTTTCCCCATAGCCACCAATCAGAATAAAAACTGCCATTGAAAATACTAGTTTAAATATGAACATTGGAATCTATTTAAAGTGATTGTAAAGCTTCATTTACAAAAAAAAATGTCATGTCATGTGATATTTACCTGCTATATGCAATTTTTGCACAGAGCAACCCCAAACCTCCTCTTTCGAGGTCCCCCACTGGCACTGTCCTTTCCTCTACTTGTCCGCACCCACTTGCTAGGGGACAGATGAGTTGCAGAGTCTCCTGCAAGAAGATAGGCAATGGAGAAAAGCTGCTACAGACTGGCACAATGCTGGTTTAAGAAGGGTCTCACTTATGTGTTTAAGGGGGGGGCTGGAGGGAGCAACATTTGAAAAGTTTTTTTTTTTTTTTACCTTAATACCTTTACAACCTTTTGAAAATATAAAATTTACTGTGCTCATGACATCTCCTGCCCCATGTTTGTGTATTGTGATGGTTACCTATACAGATAAATGCTTTGGTCTTCTTACAGGGCCCCAAGACCACGGCTGGTGCAATGGATATACCTGTCAAAGAAGAGTTTCATTGTTTCACTCCATAGTGGCAACAAACAAGTCATTTGATATATATTTCTCTAGCATCAGCCCACAGAAAATGCGTCTTAAGCTACTCAACACAGACGACTCCAAAGTAAGTTCACCAGCAAGAGGGTTATATACCAAATGTGCATGATGTCTCCCATATTGACTGTTAAGGTTGACCTTGCTAAACAGGATACATAAGACTTTTTTTTGCCCCTGTGCTTACACAGAATCTTGAAGTGTCAGCTGGGCCCAGTAAATGTGTCCAAACTGTGCTCATTATAATGAAGGATCTGTACTCATGCCATGTCTATAGAAGATCTCAATATATGTTTTTAGCAGATGCTGTAGCTGTACTGATGGCTCTACGCCTTCCCATACTGATTAGAGAGTATTTCTACAGACATAGAAGATGTGCCATATTCTAATAATGAAATATGAACCACAGTTTTTGAAGCCACAATGAAGACAGGCCATTCTCAACCTTTTTACTCCAGAGGAACCCTTGAAAAAAAATTTCTGGTCTCTGGGAAGGCTTGCTAAATGTAATTCATTGGTGAGCAGTGGGAAAACATTGGTGGTAAAACAGCAGCCATATAGACAGCTGAACAAATAATTGGTGACAAGCTGCTAGCTCCTAAAGTCACCTTTACTGGAGAAAATGCTGCTCCAGGCTCCTTCCGGTGCTACTCACAGAAACAAAATCACAGGCATATGAAGTGGTGTCTGTTGAAGGGTACAATCAATATTCATCAGAGATCATGTGAACAAAATCCTTGTTTTGTTTTTTTTTAATTATGTGCACAACATTGAGGAGAACATGGAGAAAGGTAGGTAGTTTTAGATATTTTTATTATTTTTTTATTCAGCTATCCCAGCAAGACTAATAACCTAACTTTAATGCAGAACTTCCCCCCCCAAACAGAAAATAGCCAATTAAAAGATAAAATAAAAAGAAGCATTTGCTGCAATACTCACCTTCAATTCAGCACTGTCCCCTTCAGTAATACTTTCTCATCCCTAAAAATCAGTAGATGTCCTCAATCCAAAGGGTTGAATGATGACCGGAGACCTCTAAACCCCTTCATCTGAGCTCAGACTGTTATGAATTTGTCTCACTTGGATTGTGGCAGTATGCCACCTAGACTTAGAGTATTACAGTATTGCATAGCATTCACACAGCATTACATGAATACTATTCAGTTCAGCAGAGGAAGGACCCATGATGGCACTGAATTAGCCAGAAGACCCTTGGAAAGAATTTTGAATTGAGGAAAAACTAAAATTAGACTAGACCTTATAACTTTGGCAACCTTTTATGACAAGGGAGTTTATTTAAGGATCTTCATCTTTTATATTTACACCTTGACACTGTCCTATTGGATACGTCAAATTTTCATACCAATGTCTGTTTTCTTTTAGTCTGTTCGCGTTGGAATCTACTTTTCAAATCCCCAGCGTCTGGATGTTTATGTGAACAATGTCTATGTAAACCCAACTAATATAGAATGGAAGGGATCTTCTGATTTCACTCTCAAAGCTCCAACCTACCAAGGTAAATAAGTATGGTTGATCACTAATTGTCAGAGATCCAGGTATGACCAGAGATGTGTGGACTGACACAGGGAACAGCAGGCTTCAGAAATGATGAAATAATAATAAAATTTATTAAGAGCTGCGCAAATATACAAACGCAGTGCAAACAAAAACCAAACCTTAAACTAATATTAATATGTACAAGTGTAGTCAGGGCTGGAGAGGTGGAGTGGTCAGGCAGGCCGGGTCCGGAACAATCGGGCAGATAAGGTACAACAGGAGCAGGCAGGAGAATGGTCAGGAATAGCCGGGGTTGGTGCAGGCGGAGTTCTAGCAGAGTCAGAGTCAAGCAGGCAGAAGACAGGATACAGGATTAGGACAACAGGGCACATGGGAAAACACCAAGGCACTGATTGCAGGCCTGGTACTGCTTAAATACACCTCCTGCAATCAGCCTCAGGTGATTGCTTGATTGCAGGGTAAGATCCTGGCTGCTAAAAGCACCCGCTGGCAAGCACCGGTAATGCAGCCCACACAGCAGGTGAGCCCCAGCACCACCAGCGATGAGTCCTTTCCTGACACTAATGCTCTCACAATGCAGGTAGTATTAAGGTGGCATTGGGAGAATCTGTCATGAAGCAAGTATGGAGGAGGATTCCATTGTTTACCACCTTGTGAAAATGCCAGCAATCCAGCTGTCATGGTGATGCTCTGGTTTCAATACTTTTAGTCATTATCCTGGAACAGGTATAAAACACAAGATATATGGCACAATCCCTGATCATATAAACAATTCCTTCTATAAAGGATGAAACATAAAGCAAAAAATTAAGAATAACATAAATGAAGATAGGCTAAATAAGTCCATATAGTCCATAATCATAAATATAGTCTATAGTAGAAAATTAACACAAAGTAGGCATGGTGGTTTCCAACTTCACTTCCGATTCTGTGCCCGACGGTGATCCCGGAAGCTGTGTCCTCCAGTGAAAGTGCGGAAGTCTGTTCTGTTCTCCGGTTTTATCCGGTTTAGGTTCAGTGAGCCACTGCTAATGTGCCATCCCGGAGTGGAAAACGATATCACCTTGTGTACCTTCCTGGAACAGGTATACATGGAAATGCAAAAACACGCACAAGAAGGCACAAACACCAAGTGCATTCTCACCATACAGCTTTAGTTAATACTAAGAGACAATTGCATACTCACAAAATAAGTATCAACAGGTGTATCACATAGAAACTTCAGCTACATAGTATGTTTGTGAGTATGCAATTGTTTTTTTGTATTAAGTAAAGCTGTATGGTGGTACTGCACTAAGTGTTTGTGCCCTTCTGTGTGTGTTTTTTGCAGTTGATGGAAGGGCTTTATCAGATTGAGCATTATGTTTGAACACCATTAGGAGTACGTCTTCTTAAGCTCCTAAGTGTTATTTATACTTTGGTGAAAGTATACAAGTGAAGGCAATGTGATGTCACAACTCTGACCTATGTACTTGTTTAAGGTGACCCAGAAGGTGTTACTTCTGTGCAGTCTTCATGGGGGCAGTAAGGGAGTGGGCCGTGGGATGGGTCTAGTGCATCATTGGAGCTGGCTGTCTAAGATGGTGGCGTATGACCTGCTCTGCGATACCCGAACAGCGAATCGTAGAGGGACAATGCTGGCCTCACTGTGCAGGGGAGTATGTGCTTTAAAGCACTACAGCACTACAGGTAAGTGGAAAAAGGGGGGTGGAGTTGAGTACCACTTTAATAGACCTAACAGAGTGAGTAAGAAATCTATGCTAATAAGAAAATCATGTTTCCATATCGGGGAAGTGATTTCACACAAGAGTATTCCCTAAGTATTATCACTGCCCTACAAAGGAACTACTATATTACTAGAGCCCTGCGTATACCAACATGGGATACCCACTCCTCCCCATCAGGTGATTGAAGGTCATGTCCCCTGATCAAAAAGTTTCCTACTGCAGAGGGTTCCCGCTGCCACTGTACCTTATCAGTTCATGGAGCACACAGCTCTAAATGAACCATGTATGTCCTGTTCACTCTTAATAATGATTTCTAATTACAGAGATGCTTATCGGACATTAATAAATGTCTTTGTGCGAGTGAACCAGCCGAAACGAATTCCAACTCATACATAGTGAAAAAAAAATGTACGACTGGAAAACCATAGACAATATTTTAACAAAATATATTTTCTGGTTTCTGCTTGAAAGGTCAATATATGCCACAGCTGAATTCTTCTGTGCTTGGAGAAAACTTCTTTGACAGAGACTACAACATGATGTATGTCCTGGTCCGAGGATCCTACCCAGTGGAAATACGCACATCTCCCCTCATTGTTCTTGCCTTTAATCTGCCTGCAATGACTGTGGACCAATTTTACGGGGATAACCTTGTGAGGAACCTGGCACTGTTCCTGAAGATTCCTGCCAGCAAAATTCGTATCACAAAGATAATTTCAGAGGGATCCAGACGAAGGAAGAGAGCAACAGGGGGACTCTCTGTTTCTGTGGAAATTTCAGATCCGCCTGGAGAGCAGATGAACACAACTTCCAACTCCACAGGTAAAGAATGGTCATAGGGAGCTCTTTAAAGTGGTTCTAAAGTCTCAAAGTTTTTGTTACCTTCATGCGTTCTACTCATGAAGGTAATAAACCTGTGTGCAGCTCCCCCAGACCCCCCAATACGTACCTGAGCCTGAACTCGATCCAACGATGTGCATGAGAGGAGGTGCTCTCCTGGCTTTCTCCCTCTTCACTGGCTTAGACACAGCAGTGGGAACCATTGGCTCCCACTGCTGTCAATCACAGCCAGTGAGGAGAGAGTGAAGGCAAGACCGAGCCACACTCTGTATGTCTATGGATGCACAGAGAGGGGCTTGGGAGCAAGCACGCACAGGTACCCCATAGAAATCAGCTTGCTATGGGGGCACTCAGCATTAGGGAGGATTCAGGAGTGCTGGTGGTGGAGGATTGGGGATGCTCTGTGCATAGGGAATTGCATAGAGGAGGTAAGTATGACACTTATTAATATTATTCACTGTAGATACATTGATGTGGTGGATTATGTCCCTAGTATTGTAACTATTTGAATTAAAATAGTTTATCTATCTGTCTGTCTGTCTGTCTGTCTATCAGCTGTCTATCTAGCTTTAGGCTATATTCACACTGTTGTGCACTTTGGTGCACCTCAACAAGACACCTACGTTGCAGTGCACTGCGATACGTGGTAACGCACACCCCATGTTGGAAAAGAAATGTTGCATGTGCTTTTTTGTCTGCTTTTGTAGCCTATACAAAATGAGTTTGCTGCCTTGATGCAATGTACATTATTGTGCCCCATATGGCACATTAACATATTGTATGTGCAATAATGCCACGGAGTGGACAGGTGTCAATGGAACTGGTCTTTCAGTATAAATCAGCTAAACACATTCCAACTGCATTAAAAAGAAATGTGCATAGCATACTGTTTGTTGTCATTAGAAAGCAGCAAACATTCTAAGTAGAAAAGCTTGACTCCTGCCAGCATGCTGCAGATAAAACCTTTGTACTCTGTGTGGAAGCAGTGGTCTCCCTGTGGCAAACCACGATGCACCTGCTCTGTGTAAAATATGTATGTACAGTAGAGCATAATGCACCACGGCATAACACAACGCATATATCAAGCGTTGTATTGTGCTGCTTTATTTAAAAAAAGGACATGTTCACTTTTCATCCATTTTTGTGCGCATTGGCAGCCCATTCATAATAGAAATAATGTATGGGGAATGCATGGAGAGAAAATTTCCCCGATGAGACAGCAGAAAAAAAGGAAACTTGTTAGGAAATGTTACCCTTTTACCCAAAATGCAAAAAAGAAATTTGTGGTTTTAGACATACTTTAATCCTGTATAAAATAGTAAGTGTGAAGGCACAATACACACAGTAAATGTGGCCCACTGAATAAACATCATGAGGTCAGCAAAGCAGACTGCACCCAATAAAGTCTGGATGTAGAGTGGGTGGACATGTAATACTTTATATAATTCATAGTAACTTTGTGATATCTACACTACACATTGTTCTCATGTCTGCAGTTGTATGCACGTATAACAACCCGATGTTAAGTATTTATTTTGTTATGCAGGTGATCTGTTGTACTCGGATTTCCAGTCAATGAGTCAAAACCTGGCATCAGCTGCAATCAATGGAAATCTCAGCAGTTACCTGAATGTCACAGTTTCATCACTGTCAGTGTCTACTCCTGTGCCACCTCCGAGTGACGCAGCCTGGAGCCAGGTAATACCAGTAATTGTACTGATGGATTATGAGTTTGATCACATCTCCCTGTACTATTCAGCAAGCAAAAACCTGGCCTCAGCTGCACTCAGTGCTTCAATGTAATCAGATACCTGAATGTTAGTGACAGTGCTGGCCATTCTTTAGGTCTGGATTTCATATGGCTTGCCTGAATCTTTTATTGGTGGCCATAGTGCAGGGAAACATTACAGATAATGGCACATTTAGGCTCAGTTAAAGCTCAATTCATGTATGTTTTATACCCAGGCAACTATAATGTGATAAATAAGACACATAGAGGTCCTGGTGGATTTCACATACTGTAGGTTCAGGCCACTAATCATCCAAAAAGAAAGGTTAGCCACACTCGTCATGTGCTTTTTATTGAAGCATATACACTGTACACATCACACAGGAAGGGGGGGGGAGAAGCAAGAGAGAACGCGTTTCGCACTCAGGCTAGCACTTGATTTTAACCTTTGAGCCAACAGGAGGAAGAATGGAGCAGAGCACCCAGCCTGCACAAACTATTGACCACTGCTCAATATCTGGCTTCATTTATTAAATCGTAGAAAACAAATGTCAACTGTCCCAATCTATAACTGGCCTTTGCAGCAAGGGGCACATGGAACGGCAATGTATGTCAAACAACAACAGAGAAACATTCCCAGCTCAGCTTACCAACCAGCCAGCAACCAACCGAATTGTCCTGTCTAACAGTTCAAATTAAAGACAGGGGTTTAGTTTGCACACATTTGCAAATATTCATTTTTATTTGATATCAAAAAATTTAAAACATGATGTGTACAGTGCATTTTTGACAATTTAAGCATATGAGGAGTGCAGCTGACGCAGACCTTCCTTTTTGGATAATTAGAAGGTGACACCTCAAAAAGAGATGTAAACAATCATAGAAAATATTTAACATATATCTAAAGCCAAAAAGTGTATGTTTCATTTTGAATGAAGTTTTATTAACCTCTGCTAGTTTTTTTTCATCTATGTCCCATTGAGAGATTTTCCTTCGCTTCTTTTTATATGAACTACAAATTGTGAATTTTCTCTTATTGTTAGTGAAACCCAATGGTGGACCTAACCCAGTGTTTCTCAATCTCTTTTTTCAGTTGCAGCACCCTTAGAAGGTTTTCAAATTTTCAATGCACCCCAGTCTAAAATGCAAAAAATGTGAATGTTACTTGTAATGTGAAAGCTGAGCCTTGTAACATGCACATAGCTACCTTGATGAAGTCAACTTTAGAAACCCCCCCCATCATGTCAGAGTCCCCCCATCCTTTCCTCTGATGTGCTGAGTCCTCTTAGCACATCGGAGGCTCCCCAATCACACAGTCCACCCATCACAGCAGCGTGGCAAAGGGCAGGCGGTGAAGCATGTCTGGAGGAGATGGACCTTCCTCCTCTTCTAAATGCTGAGGGAGGGCCTGCATACCATCATGGATCATAGCCATGGTGTTTAGTAGCGGGCTGCCACCATCATAGCAATAAATGATGTTGAGTACCATTGACCTAGAGCACCATTGGATATTATAATGATGGAGGCCAGCCTGCCCACACCAGGGAAACTGTTAGGGATCCGGGTATGACCCGAAATGTGTGGACTGACACAGGGAAGTAGCAGGCTTCAGGAACACAGGCGTAGTCAGGCTGGAGAGGTGGAATGGTCAGGCAGGCCGTAAGGTACTGTCAGGTGCCGCCTGGCAGTGTCTCTAGCAGCCCACAGCATGGATTTCCTCGGGGCGCGGAGTCTAACTCCCAGCCTGCTATTCACCAGGGCCCCCGATGGCGGGGATGGACTTGGTGCAGACTGGAACCAGGTCGCGACCCCTGAGTGCGTCCGGCTGTGGTAAAGAGTATTGGTAGGGGAGTGCAGGAACGGAGTGTGATAGGAAGAGGCAGGCAGACTTACTAAAGGTGATCCATGCGGGATGGATGGATCGTCGGGTGAAGTAAGCGTAGTCAGACATGCCGGGTCGGTATAGTGCGGGCAGCGTGGTACAGGAGGAGCAAGCAGAGAATGGTCGGGGTCACAAGCCAGGTTCAGCAGGTAGCGGGCAGCGCGGTACCAAGGATCAGGCAGAAGGATGGTCAGGCAAGCCAGGGGTTCAACAGGAGACGGTCAGCAGAGGTCAGGATCAAAGCAGGGTCAGCAACGAGACAGGAACACAGGATACCAGGTACAGGGGCTCATGGGAAACATACACCAAGGCCCTGATCACAGGCCTGGTCATTCCTTAAATACACCTCCTGCAATCAGCCCCAGGTGTTGGCTGACTACAGGAGCGAGCTTCTGGCTGCTGAGAGCACCCGCTGGTCAGCCCTGGTACTGCAGCCCACACGGCAGGTGAGTCCCACCACCAGTGCTGAGTCCATTCCTGACAGAAACTCATTATGTTAATCGAGGGCAAACTGGATCCTGTGCTAATGGCACCGGCACCCCAGGGTGAGAAACATTGCTCTAACCCACCATCACTCTAAAACTAAAAGGTTTTTGCCTTTAGATACAGATAAGCCATACTCTTGCATAGCTGCTTTATTAATTTTGACCAGGGTGGGAAAATGCAAGATCTTCATTCAGGTTTTGTTTTACATTTGCACCCATGGCTTCCTGTCCCAGGTAACAGGTGTCAGCAGAAGATGATGTATTTGTATTGTAGCTGTACTGTCTCTATTTATATTGTAAAGCACTGCGCTAACTGTTGGCGCTATATAAGTCTTGCATAATAATAATAATGATGTAAAAGGAAATCTTTGTATGAAAAAGTGAGGAAGACTTGGCATCTGTATATTCTTTTATTTTTCTCTGTGTCCCCTGTTGGGTAGATCTCCCTCATTTGCTTCTCCGATAACAGGTGCTTTGTGTATAAAAAGTGTAGAGCAGTGTAAAATAAATGCTACATTACAAAAAAATATATTTTGTACATTAAATGAATATAAAAGGCTGAGATAAATATGTACAGGGCTAGTGATGTATTGGAATACACAGTGAAAAAAAAATGTTATGCATTTTAGGTGGCATCGGAGCCTGTTGTCAGCAGGAACCAGACATCATCTACTGGAAGCTATCTGGCTACAGTATCATCGCTGAAAGTAATTGTTGAACCTGTGGCTGGATTGCCAGGACAGATTCTGTCACAACAACCATCTATAATGGCTGTAGACTCTAATGTAAGTGTCCTATAAACTCTGTTTTATTTTTCTTATTCCAGGTATTTACAGTGTATATAGTGCCGAATTTACGCAGCACTTTACATGTTCTACATTCGGGGGTATTGCAGTCCCCCTCCGCAGAACGGTGTTACAGCATTTCCAGAAACCAGATCCAGCACAGAGAACTCTTGGTACCCTGCCTTCCCCCATTATATATTTATTACAGGGAAGGTAGCCTTGGTCTGAAAAGCTTGATAAACAATTTACCTTCTTTGCTACTGCCTAGGTCAGCTACTACTGACTAACGTAGGCTGCTTTCACACTGATCCATTTTTCTTCTGCTTTTCCATTAAAAAATGAATATTATTATACAGGATTTATATAGCGGCAAACAGTGTGCTCAACACTTTAAAATATAAAAAGAGACAATATAGAAACGATACAGTTCAATACAAGAGGGTTAGGAGGGCCCTGCTCCTTAGAGCTTACAATGTAATAGGGAGGGGCTGGTGGAAGAAAAGGTAATAGCTGTGGGGGATGAACTGATGGGAGAAATAGAAGATTTGGTTATTAGCTGAAGGCAGGATAGGCTTCATTGAAGAGATATGTTTTTCAGGTATTGCCTAGAAGTGGACAGAGTAGGTGATAATCAGACAGATTGGGGCAGAGAATTCCAGAGGATGGGGGAGGCTCTGTAGAAGTCCTGGAGACAAGCATGAGAGGAGGAGACAAGGGAGCTAGAAAGCAGGAGCTCTTTGAGGAGCAGAGAGGACTGTTTGGGTGATATTTGGAGACAAGATTGGTGATGTAGTTTGGGGCAAAGTTATAAATGGCTTTATATGTTATTGTTAATATTTTGAATTGTATTCATTGGGCAATGGGAAGCCAGTGGAGGGATTGGCAGAGAGGGATGGCAGACATGGAACAGTTGGTAAGGTGAATGAGTCTGGAAGCAGCATTCATGAAAGACTGAAGAGGGAATAACCTACGATTAGGTAGGCCAATGAGGAGGGAGTTACAATAGTCAAGGTGATAGATAACAAGCGAGTGAATACGTTGTTTAGTGGTTTCAATGGTTAAACAGGGACATATTTTGGAGATGTTATAGAGGTGAAGTTTACAAGATTTGGACAATGATTGGATTTGCGGCTGAAAGCACACATGGGAGTCCAAGATTACACCTAGTACGCTGGCATGAGTTGAGGGACTGATGGTTGTATTATTGATCTTGATGGAGAAGTCAGGGGAGGGGGCACGGGCTGGAGGGAATATTATGAGCTCAGTTTTAGAAAGACTGAGTTTGAGGAAGTGGAGTGACATTCATGCTGATATGTCAGTTAGTAAGTTAGTAATGAGAGAGCAGACTGAAGGGGTGAGGTGAGAAGTAAAGAGATAGATTTGTGTGTCATCAGCATAGAGATGGAACTTGGAGCCAAGGAAGCTTATCAAGTGACAAAGAGAGGAGGTGTAAATGGAGAAGAGAGAGGGGGTCCAAGGACCGAACCTTGGAGGACCTCTACAGCAGGAGGAAGTGGAGAGGAGGAGACAGCATTTAAGGTAACACTAAAGGAGCATTGTGAAAGGTAGGAGGAGAACCAGGAGAAAGCAGAGTCTTGCAAGTCAAGAGAGTGGAGTTTTTGGAAGAGGAGGCGATGGTCAACAGTGTCAAAACCTTACATGGCTCAGAGTGCTGACCCTCTTCCTGACAATGTCAATGCTGCTGTGCAAGGGACTACAGAGGCTGATTTAAAATCAGGTTCAGAAATACATGCTAGTTCAGTATAAAATAAATCTACTTTTTTTGTGAATACAAAATTTAAGTAAATATGTTTTGATTTCTACGCTTTCTTTGTAGGGCAATTGTGTTTCCGTGAGCACCAGTTCATTGTCACTAACAGCAAGACTGAAAGATGCAAATAACACCTACGCCAGCAATGGACTGGCTGGAAATACTACCATATTGTTTGACAGTTGCTGGGCCAACTACACCGACCTTGTTCTTGAACTACCAGGTAGGAGCAACAATTAATACCTCTGCTTCTGTGTGCATCTAAAGGGCATGTGGTAAAAGAAAAGTTCACAGAAAACAGAGGAAACAAAACACTTACCTTTCCTGCTACCCGTACCACTTAAAGCTGGCATTACAGTCGAAGATTTCTCGATCAACACAAACAATGTGGATGGACGAATCCCCCTGTCCTATTGCATTCCAACAGTCGCTGCCAGAATACTTGAACACTGCATGCAGCTTTTGTTGCAATACTCTACCTCAATCTTGAACTTTCCTCTGTAGTACTTTCTCTCTGCCACTAGATGCTGCTCCTTGGTTGAATGACAGCCAGTATGATACAATTCACTACTTGTAAGCCCAGGCTATCATGGACCTGCCCCTTGGGGGTGTGTCATAATGCAGCCAGGGCTAACAGTACTCCTGGACTGAGCAGTATTAACACACCATTATCATTCAGTTCAAGAGGACTGTAGGGAAATTAAAAAAAATAATAAATATATATATATATATTTTTTTTTTTTAAAATACAAGTGAATCACTTCAAATAGGGGGATTAGCCCAAAAACTTTGACTTCTGCAGATATGAGACATTGACCAATTTGTCTTCACATAATTGGGCACTGTACTATTTTTGCATTGTCTTTTTTTTTTTTATAAAGCCCCTTAATAAGGTCACTTTTTTGTCTTGTTATAATCTTTTCTTCTTTCCACTACAGGTAGTGGATACACGCTGGAATTCGAACTGAACAATGTCTATGCTCAGACCAGGTCATTTGATGCCAAAACCTTAACACAAACAACTACTCCATCATCAACTACTCCATCAACAAATGCTTCATCAGCAACTATTTCATCAACAAATGCTTCATCAGCAACTACTCCATCAACAAATGCTTCATCAGCAACTATTCCATCAACAAATGCTTCATCGGCAACTAGTTCATCAACAAATGCTTCATCAGCAACTACTCCATCAACAAATGCTTCATCAGCAACTATTCCATCAACAAATGCTTCATCAGCAACTACTCCATCAACAAATGCTTCATCAGCAACTACTCCATCAACAAATGCTTCATCAGCAACTATTCCATCAACAAATGCTTCATCAGCAACTACTCCATCAACAAATGCTTCATCAGCAACTATTCCATCAACAAATGCTTCATCAGCAACTATTCCATCAACAAATGCTTCATCAGCAACTACTGCACCAGCCCAAGAACCCGATGATGGGTATTCCATCAACAGCCCCTTCCAGAAGCTACTTGTACTGGTGATCACACTGATTACCATCACACTGTTTATGGGTAATCTTTAAGACATATTGTCTTACTGGTGAGTTACATTTTTATCATCATTGTGAGAGACTAAATGAAATAAATTATATATTTTATATATAATTACAATGTAATAGTTCTCTAATATTATTATTATACAGGATTTATATAGCGCCAACAGTTTGCGCAGCGCTTTACAATACAAGGGAGACAGTACAATTACAATACATTTCAGTACAGAAGGAATGTGAGGGCCCTGCTCGTGGAGCTTACAATCTAAAGGAAGGAGGAGATGATACAAAAGGTGATAGCTGTGGGGGATGATCTGGTGGAGGTGATTCAAGTACAGTTCTTAGGTGAAGGTGGGGTAGGCTTCCCTGAAGAAGTGCATTTTCAAAGATCGCCTAAAAGCAGACAGGGTGGGGGCTGACCGGACATGCTGTGGTAGGGAGTTCCAGAGGATGGGAGAGGCTCTGGAGAAGTCCTGGAGGCGAGCGTGGGAGGAGGTGATGAGGAAGCTAGAGAGGAAGATATCATTGGAGGAGCGGAGTGTGCGATTTGGCCGATATCTGTGGATGAGGTCGGTGATGTAGCTAGGGGCAGTGTTGTGGATGGCTTTGTAAGCTGTGGTTAGTATTTTGAATTTTATACGTTGGGTTATTGGAAGCCAGTGAAGGGATTGGCAGAGAGGGGCAGATCGGTTGGTAAGGTGTATGAGTCTAGCAGCAGCATTCATAATAGACTGAAGGGGGGATAGCCTGTGTAACGGTAGACCAGTGACTAGGGAGTTGCAGTAATTGAGGCGGGATATATCCAAAGCGTGGATAAGTTGTTTTGTGGTTTTATTGGTCAGGAAGGAGCGGATTTTGGAAATGTTCCGGAGGTTGAGGCGGCAGGATTTAGCCAGTGAGTGGATGTGATGAAAAGGTTTATTATCTTAAAAGAGCTAAGATGAAGTCTAAGCACATACACCAGATCTTCACCAAAGCACCCG